ATGCAACAGAGTGGATTGCTCAGAAATAAACCCACACTTACTTGGTCAATTAATCTATGACAAATGAGACAAGAATATGCAATGGGAAAAACTGGACAGCTGCATGCAAAAGAATCAAACTGGACTAGTTTCTCACAACATATACAAAAGTAAACTCAGAATAGATTAAACACTTAAATGTTAAGACTTGAAGTCATAAAACTCCTAGAAAAAAAAATAGGCAATGCAATATTTAACATCAGTCTTAGAAGTACTTTTTTGGATATGTGTCCTCAGGTGACAGAGACAAAAGCAAAAATAAACAAATTGGACTACATCAAACTACACAGCTTTTGCACATTGAAGGAAACTATCAACAAAATGAAAAGGCACTTACCGAATGAGAGAAGATATTTGCAAACATATATCCAATAAGGGGTTAATATCCAAAATATACAAAAAATTCATACAACTCAACATCAAAAACAAACAACTGAATTAAAAATTGGGCAGAGGAGCTGAATAGACATTGTCCTAAAGAAGACATGCAGATGGCCAACGGACACATGAAAAGATGCTCCACATCATTACCCATCAGGGAAATGCAAATCAAAACCACAGTAAGATACCACCTCACACCTCTCAGAATGGCTATCACCAAAAGGACAAGAAATAACAAATGCTAGCAAGGATATGGAGAAAAGGGAACCATTGTGTACTATTGATGGGAATGTAAATTGGTACAACCACTATGGAAAACAGTATGGAGGGTCCTCAAAAAATTAGAAATAGAACTGCCATATGATCCAACAATTTCACTTCTGGTTATCTACTCAAAGAAAACAATAACACTAATTCAATAAGACATATGCATTCCAATGCTCATGCAGCATTATTTACAATAGGCAGGATGTGGAAGCAACCTAAATGTCTATTGATAGACAAGTGGATAAAGAATATGTGGCATAGGGGCTTTCCTGGTGGCGCAGTGGTTAAGAATCTGCCTGCCAATGCAGGGGACATGGGTTCGAGCCCTGGTCTGGGAAGATCTCACATGCCGTGGAGCAACTAAACCTGTGTGCCACAACTACTGAGTCTGTGCTCTAGAGCCTGCAAGCCACAACTACTGAGCCCATGCACCACAACTACTGAAGCCTGTGCGCCTAGACCCCATGCTCTGCAACAAGAGAAAACAACGCAATGAGAAGCCCAGGCACTGCAATGAAGAGTAGCCCCCTGCTCACCACAACTAGAGAAAGCCCACATGCAGCAACAAAGACCCAACGCAGCCAAAAATAAATTAATAAAAAAAAATTAAAAAATAAGAATATGTGGCATATATATATGTATATATACACACACACAGTGGAATGTTACTCAGACATTTTTAAAAAGTGAAATTTTGACATTTGCAATAATATGGATGGACCTAGAGGATATGATACTAAGTAAAATGAATCAGACAATGACAAATATCACATGATCTCACTTATATGTGGAATGTAGAAAAAAAAAAACAAAAACGGACTCGTAGATATAGAGAAAAAACTGGTGGTTGCCAGAGTGGAGGGGGGAAATAGGTGAAGGGGATTAAGAGATACTAACCTGAAGTTATATAATAAATAAGTCACAGAGATCTAATATACAGAATAAGGAATATGGTCAATAATATTGTAATAACTTGGTATGGGGACAGATGTTTACTAGGCTTATGGTGATAATTTCCTAATTATGCAAATGTCAAATCATTATGTAGTACATCTGAAACTAGCATAATATTGTACAACTAATTTCAATTAATAAAAACTTTTGAGAATTTAAATTATGTTTTAAAAATTGTTCTCTTTAATTACTGACTGCTAATTACTGAGTGCTAAAATATAAGGTGCTATTTGACATAAGTCCAAGTACTCAATCTGTGTTCTTTTTCTATTATAAAACTATTGAGTTATCTTAAAATTAAAAATTTTTTAAGAAGTTACAATTTGTATATTAAAAAGTGCTGAAATTTCAGAGTTGGGCCATATTCAACTGAAAATTCATGATGGTAACTTATGTAGGAAAAAAATAGACTATATACCATGTGATTTCATTTATATGATGTAAAACTATAGAGATAGAATACATATCTAAAACTATAGAGATAGAATACATATCAGTGGTAGCCAGGAACTAAGGGTAGGGGGAAAGTCTGAGTCCCAGAGGGTAACCAAAGAGATCTGGGGGAGGTTGATGGAACTGTGGTGTGTCTTGTTTGTGGTAATGGTTATACAACTATGTGCATTTGTCAAAACGCATAGAACTGTACACTGTAAAGAGTGAATTTTACTGTTTGTAAATTAATATAAAAATCCATCTACATCTCTGATTTTTTTCACTTGTACCATCTCTCAGTCATTTCTGTGCATACTAGCTTTTTAAATTCCTCCCTGGTTAATATAAAAATCCATTTACATTGTTGATTTTTTTCACTTGTATCATCTCAGTCATTTGTGTGCATACTAGTTTTTATTTTTTGATTTTTTGGCTGTGTTGGGTCTTCATTGCTGCATGTAGGCTTTTTCTAGTTGCAGCGAGAGGGGGGCTACTCTTCGTTGAGGTGTGCAGGCTTCTTATTGTGGTGGCTTCTCTTGTTGCAGAGCACGGGCTCTAGGCATGCAGGCTTCAGTAGTTGCAGCATGTGGGCTCACTAGTTGCGGCACATGGGCCCTAGAGCACACGGGCTTCAATAGTTGTGGCATGCGTGGGCTCAGTAGTTGTGGTGCACAGACTTAGTTGCTCCGTGGCATGTGGGATCTTCCCAGTCCAGGGCTCCAACCCACGTCCCCTGCATTGGCAGGCGGATTCTTAACCACTGCGCCACCAGGGAAGTCCCCCATAATAGTTTTTTAAATTCCACCCTGGTGATTCAGAAAGTAGCTTTGCAAGGGGCATCTCTACACTTTTCAGTTTACAAATTGCTTTGCAGTTATATAAGCAAAAAGTTAACTAAATGCCATTTGGGTGCCCAAGATTTAGCTACATATGGTAACTCATACTAAAAGTGTAAAGTTTTAACTATTATTTAATTAAATGACATTATAAACTGTAAAGTAATACTTACTGATGGTCATAATTGTACTTACCCCACAATGGTTCTGAAAGCATTATGTGGTGCTTACTTTTCACTAGTTAGAGCAACAGATGCAGCACAGAATACAGAGAAGGATCCAGCTGGTAACTTCTACTCTCAGGAAACAAGGAGGAAGTGAATAATCTGAAGGATTGGTGGGAGAAGAGACTGTCTTGATATTCACCAGAGTCCTACTAGCAGGGTCCATGGTCACACTCACTTTTTCTTCCTGTACTACACCCAATCACTTATGGTGACATACACAGAGAGCAGAATAGTATGGATAAAAAATTTCTATGGAGCATACAATACTGTCACTCCAACCAGTGATGACCTCTCTTTCCTTGATGTCATTGCACATTGGAAGGTTGAACTTGATAGGTTTTATTTCCCATCACATCCTGTAATGAAAGGCAGTAAAAAGAAGAAGCAGGAGGAGGGGGAAGAGGAAGAGAGGGAGGGGAGTAGGAGAAAAGTTAGGATTAAACAAGGAAAAGCATCAATGCCAAAGGGCTGGTGAAATCTACAGGGAAGTAACGGTGTTATGGCAGAGCATAGATGTTGATGTCAGACGTATTTAGGTTCATACCTCAGCCTGCCACTTATTATCTATTTAGGCAAGTTGGTTAACCTCTATGTGCCTCAGTTTCCTTGCTTTTAAGTTGGAAATATAGTACCCAGCATAACAAATTATTGTGAGAATTAATGAGATCATGTAAGGGGGCTGAGTTTAGCTTTTGGTACAGTGAGGATACTCAACAAGTGATACTTGTTACTATTAATGTTATGATTATACCTTTATAAATCAGCATGGAAAAACTAGATCATATTTAAGTTGCTATTATTCCTTCTCTTCTAACACTCACTAGCTCTGTGACTTTGGGCACACGACATACTTTCTCTGATCTTAGTTTTCTCATCTATAAAATGAGGATAAGCATATTTCATAGTGGTGTTGTGAGGATCAACTAAGTTAATACTTGTAATGCTCTTAGAACAGTGGCTTGCACATAGTAAGTACACAATAAATGTCAGCTATTACTACTACTACTACTATAACTATTGTTATTGCTATTATTCTCAACCAAGGATGAACACATACTAATTGAGCACTATTATGAGTCCAACAGTGTTGGTAAAAGATTTGTGAGCAATACTGAATATTAAACTGTGTAGTATTGAGGCTAGGTTTCTAGCACTAAGTACTCAAAGTATTTGATTAATTAATGAAGGCATGCATTAGTAACCCAGAGAACAGACAGTGAATTGGTGAGGAAGAATCAGGAAAAACAATACTCATATTTTTGAGAGAATTGAATACATGAGAAGGGAAAAAGGAGAGTGTCTTAGACTGGGACAAAGGCATGAAGGCATAAGTGGAACAAAGTGCGTATGGAGAAGTGAATGTCCACCAGCAGTGGCATGCATACAAGAAACTGCAATATAGTAAAGTAATACAACGGATTACTATACAGCAGAGAATATTAACTAATTGTACCTATATATCAGTGTGGATGAATCTCACAAACTATGGAGTAACATAAGCAAGTCACAAAATAAAAGCTATTATTATTCTATTTATATAAAATTCTAAGCTAGGCAAAACTAAATTACATTGTTACAGATAACATATGTAAATTATAAAGCTATTAACAATTATTATTGCAAAAGTTAAAATAGTGGTTACATCTGGGGAAAGGAAGGGAAGGTCTCATGAAGTATTAATGTTCTATCATTTCATAATGGGGGTGTGTATGAGAACTTGGGTGTTTGCTTTACAAATTTTATTTATTTATTTTTGGCTGCATTGTGTCTTCGTTGCTGCACGCGGGCATCAGTAGTTGTGGTGTGTGGGCTCAGCTGCTCTGTGGTATGTGGGATCCCCCAGACCAGGGATCGAACCGGCGTCCCCCTCACCAGCAAGTGGATTCCCAACCACTGCCACCAGGGAAGTCCCCAGGTTTGTTTTTTTTTTTAGTGTACATGTATGCTTTATATATTCTTTTTTATGGATGACATATTTCATAATAAAAAGTAAAATCACTTAAAAGTAAGAGTGAATGGGGTCCAGGAAGTTAGCAAGCTCAACCAGAGGATATTGTATGTTGTGGAGTAGCAGGAATTAAAACAAATAAGGTGATATTCAATCCATTTCTTTTTCAGTGCTAAACGGCATCCAATTGGTTACTTTTTCCTCCTATAAGCTTAAAAATCTCACCTTCCTCAATATATAAAAACAAATAATAATGAAAAACAAAAACAAAAAAAACAAACAAATAATGGAAGTCATGAAGCTGAGTCAAGGGGTCATGACGAAGGGTATTGAAACCTGGGAGAGGAATGTTACCTCTGACACCTAGCTAGCTGGGCTGGGGTATCAGGCACAAGGCAAGAGTGAGGCATTGATAGTCGGCAGTTGTCTATCGATATTCAGGGCTTCCTCATCACAATTGAGGCCCTTATTCCAGTTGACAAATGACACCCCACCAAAAGAGACGATGGAATTCATTCTGCTATCGAGGATATGGTTAAAGCAGAGTCTGGTCAGTCCTCAGTGGGAAAATGGAAGAGATCAAGTGAGGATAAACCAAAGGAATGTACTCCTACTAGGAAGATCAGAAAGAGATATAGGCTGATATATATGCAAGTTTAGACACCTGGAGTTTATCTCTTGTGCCCGAAATCTGCCCCAGACATTCCATTACTCATGGCTCTTTCTCTTTTAATCCTGCTGTCGAGGAAATAAGATGCAAGCCGAGCAGGTGGGGACTAAAATCAATAAGTTTAACATTTTATTTGAATGCTTCTATCAATAGAATTTAGCCAGCAACGAAAAGGTTTATTCTGAGCTCCTTATTATTTTTTTAAATGGCTAGCCAGCTGAGAGCTAGATAGCTGGATATTTGGAAGTATTTCTGTGTTATTTGGGTTCAATTAAAATGTCTCTGTCTCTCTCTCAGAAATTATTCTGGGAACAGGTAAATGTCCAAGGCTAAATAAGAATACTAGAATACCATAGCAGATAAATCTTGCCTTGTTATAATAATTATTTTACTGTTGTTTTTGTATATAAAGTGGTAGACACTTTACATAATCCCTCAACAACCTTGCAAAATTGCTTTTTTTCCAGATAAGAAAACTGAGGCTCTGCAAGTTTAAATAATCTGACCAAAAACGTATAGTGAAGCTAGGATGCCAACTCAGTACTGTCTGAACACAAAGCAAAAGCGGTAGTTAGGTAATCACTAGTTTCTTAAAAAGCAGAATACTTTAAAGGAATCTTCTCAGAGCTAGTCATAGAGGTGGGAAGATTGTTCTCAGAAAGACTGGTATATCTAGTGGAAGTCTTTCTAAACTAATGAAAGACTGGGTGGTGAGGGGACCATGTGAAGTAGAAAAGGTGTAAGTCACCTAAGGTGGTCAGTGGCTCCTCACTTCCCACTGATTGTTGTAATGTGGGATTTAGGCCTAGTATTGCTAAATTTATTATTTTTCAAAAGAGGCCAGAAATCAAACATTTAAATAAAAAATCTCCTGATTAAAAAAAAGACTGTACTGTGTCTGAGTTTTTACAAAACTCTATAATGGCCTAACAAAGTCTGCCATCAGCCTGAATTTGCCCTGTAGGCAACTAATTTGCAACCCTAAACTTATTCCAATACTGCAAACCTGGGCTTGCAGGTGGTTTTCCTTTTAGCCTCCAGAGAATTAACTAGCTGTCTCTTCCTCAGGAAAGCCTTCCCTGGCCAGATTGGCTCTTCCAGTTGGACTTTCTCTAATTCTCTATAGATCCCCTATCCTTCCTCTCTACATACATTTTTTGGAATTACATGTTTGATGTTTTTCTTTCCTCCTAGACGGTAAGTTCATGAAGCAAGGAGCCATTTCTGTGCTGGTCATTGTCATTGGCTTCCCCAGAATCGGACTTTGGCTGACAGGAAGTTATGTGAAGGAGGTTTACTGAAGCGTGATCTAGGGAGCACCAGGTGGTTAAGGGAACCGGATTGGTCTGGGAGAGAATTAAGGTGAACAACTTAATAGAGCTCCCACCTGGGAGATAGTTATCTATAGTATATGATAAATAATTTATATGTTACTACTTTAAAATAAAGATATGAAAAATGGGTGTTTATTTGAAATTATATTAAATTCTGTATTATTTACTTTTCTGTTATATAAATGCTATTGTTTCAACCAAAGCAATATAACTAGTTAATAGTGACAATTAGTAGTAATTAATAGTAAGACCAATTAATTGTATGTGTGAGGAAGATTTAACAATATTTCGATATTTCTTCCCTCTGATGCAATGATTTAACTCTCTTAATTGGATATTAAATAATTCCAGGATATAGTAATGTGTATTTTTAAGATCCATACTAATTAAACAGATATTGCCTATATCTAATAAAAAAGTAACAATGAGATGTTTCTTTCTATCTTACGATACGGTAGAATAGTTTTACTCTTTCAGTTTCCTTTTCCAATAATACTTCTCTGAATGCCTGAAGCCTTTGCCTTAGGACATCCTTTTTTTCTTTTATGTAGTGGTAAAAGTAAATATAGTTGAATGTAAAATTCATTTTGATTTGCAGCTCTGCTCTTTCTTTTAAATCTTTTCCTTCTAATTTTATTGAGATACAATTAACATAGAGCACTGTATAAGTTTAAGGTGTACAGCATAATGGTTTGACTTATGTATGTCGTGAAATGATTATCACAGTAAGTTTAGAGAGCATCCATCTAGTCATATAGATATAAAATTAAGGAAATAGAAAAAAAATTTTTCTCTTGTGATGAGAACTCAGGATTTACTCTCTTAACAACTTTCACTTATAACATTAGCAGTGGTGATTATATTTATCATGTTGTACATTATGTCCTTAGTACTTACTTATAACTGGAAGTTTGTACGTTTGCCTTCATCCAATTCTCCCTTCCACAACCTCCATAACCACAAATCTGATCTCTTTTTCTAAGAGTTTGTTTGTTTGTTTCTGAAGTATAATTGATCTACAGCTAGGCTCTACTATTAGAGCATGTTACACACCATAGTGATTCAATATTTCTATACATTTCAAAATGATCACCATGATAAGTCTAATTACCATTCAAAGATATTAAATATTATAGCTATAAGCCCACGGATTTCTGATGTCAATCCAATGTGACGACATTGATCCCAATATCTTCTCAACAAGTTGGGCATTGAATACTTGGGATTTTACTCTGTAGTAACAGCAGGTTTTTAGACTTTTAAGAATTAGTTTCTGGCTCTCCCAAAATGTCCATTCATGTTGTATCTATACACTTGTTTTGGTAGACCAGCTGCTTATCAATCAGATCCTTTGCATGTAGAAGTCAATCAGGTAGGTTATCCATAACTAAATTGTTCACCATTTTTTTTCATTTTTTTAAACTTTTTTGGGGTTTTGTTTTGTTTTTTTAATTGTTCATCATTTATAAACAATCAAGCACACAGGATGTCATCATAAGTTAAATGTCCTTTTCAGCATTTAAGGCATAGAGGTAATTTGAACTTGTGAACTTGAAGTTGGATTCCAAATAAGGTAGTTTTAGTAAAGAAATGAGAAAGTCCTATTTAACTTGGCTACCATTTTCTGAGTTTTAAAGCAGTCTTATTTCTCCAAAAAAAAAAAGAGTCATTTTGTTTTTCACTGTATGAGTTTTGTTGAAGCCCACACATAACATTGAATGATTCATGTGCACCCAGTCCATCCTTTTCCAGTTTCCTTATGGCCTCTTCAAAGATCATTGAACAATTTCAGAGAAACAGCATATACAATTCTGTTTTACTGTAATCTTTTATCCATTCTCCCTCTGGATGCATTTTCATATTAGAGAAGGACATTCTTCTTGTCTCACAGTTTGAAAATATGATTTTACAGTAAGCTAACATTTTAGCATCTTTTCTATGGCTAGTAGCAATGATACCCATCTTGTGGGCACATGTCTAAGGACACAATCTCTTTCCATTTCTATAAAGTCAATCTTATTAAGTGCTTCTGTGCATTTTAAGGAAATTGAAAAGTGACCAATGTTTTCACTATGAAAGCCTCAATATTACGGGCAAGAAAATCACACTCCTTTTTTTTCCCCAATACTGCTGTGTACAGGTGTGTAGAACATAGCAGGTAAGACCTTTCTATTTTGTTTGATAAGAAGTTTCTAGATTGGAATTTTACAAAATTTATATTTGTATAGTACATCTGCTGAATATACAGATAGATAAGCAAAGTCCACTTCTGTTTGAACAAAATATCAACGATCTTTCGTATTTTCTGTAGTTTGATTAAAATCTTCATAGAAATCAGGAAGATGATTTGATTTTCAAATCAAAATACCTACGAGCCAGGGGGAATTTTTTTTTCTTGCCATGATTCAATTTATCACTTGTACTATAGAAAGTATGGTCATTGGTAATATCTGACATCATCGGCTCTAAGGGACCAACGCATCGGTTATCAAAATTCTCCCGTTTGTTTGGACCACAGGACTTTTTAGTTGGGACTCTAAATCAGAAGAAATAGCTTTACTCAGCAACACAGAGCAATTAAGGGACTGATAGATAATGTTTTATGTGGTGTGTCTAAATTAATTCAATGGCCACTATTTTCAACTGAGCCTTGGTGTTTTTTGGGGAATATGAAAAAACTGTTGATTGATTTAAAGTACTTGCCTGCTTCATTTCCTAACTTGTGAGATTTAATCTTCTTATGTGCTTTTACCTCCCCTTCTCCAACCCCAAGTTCTTTTTTGCATATTACACCAATATTGTACCAACGGTATTTTTTGTTTTAGTTTGGCCCTGTGTCCATTATCTAATAAAGTACTTCTAACAGTATGAAAGACCAAGCCTTGAGCTATATCTTATACGTGGGAGCTCTGACTCAACGTCTCATCTTCAACTCTTTAATGGAGTTCGTCCTAATATTTAGAAAACTTCAATTTTCCTACATGCTACAGGGATAGGAGGCTGTACTTAAAGGGAGAGGCGCTGGTAGGAAATTGCAGTAAGCCCTGGAGTTTCTTAGTACAGCACAATGGAAATAAAAGCCACCTCCCTTCTGCTGGTCCATTTTCCCTTTTGGATGAGCAAATGGGAATCATCTTTAGGGCATTACGTATTCATTGAGGGGCTGTGACCTTAATCCATAAAGCCCTATGGAGTTTATGCTTTGATTACCTTAAAGCTCGCCTCCCCTTATACAGTGTCCCAGACAGTCAAAATCTCCCCACAGTGTTCCTGCTAACAGTTCACAGTTTCAGTGGACCCAAGACTGAGCCCCATCTGGTAAACAGGGCTTGGTACAGAGATTCCCTTAAAGTGATCTGACCATGCCACACAGTTTGCCTAGAAATCTTCTCCTGAATTTCTATAAAGCTAGGCCAGTTTTTAGAACTCTCCTTGAATTATTGGAGAATACAGTAATTAAAATAAACTATAATTGTGGATTCACTACAACAAAGTTTCCATAAAGAAACTTTGTTTCTAAATAATGGCATTTAGAGTTTTCTTGTTATTAAAAGGAGATGAATAAAGGTTAAATTTAATGGGGCGGGTGTAAGGGTAAAAACATTTTTTGGAGGACCTACATGTGTCGGGAAATTGGTATGTTTTCTCATTTGACTCTCACAACTCTATGATGTAGATGTTATTATTCTTATTTTACGAATGAGAAAACTGGCTTAGAGATGTTAAATAACATTTCCAAAAGCATATGGGTAGTGAGTGGTGGACTTGGCATTCAAATTCAAGTGTGTGGGCTCCAGATTCTAGGTCTTTACATTCTGTTACCCAAATAATTACTCTTACTGAACTCCCTATTTCTCACCCCAGCTCTAATTCATTTCTTCTTTATCCTCTTTACTTTTCCCCTATTGTCCACCAGCCTGTTATATTTTTCATCATTTCTCCTTTCGATAGTCTCTTTAATGTCTTCTTTTTTTTTTTTTTTTTTTTTTTTTTGCCGTACGCGGGCCTCTCACTGCTGTGGCCTCTCCCGTTGCGGAGCACAGGCTCCGGACGCGCAGGCCCAGCAGCCATGGCTCACGGGCCCAGCCGCTCCGTGGCATGTGGGATCCTCCCGGACCGGGGCACGAACCCGTGTCCCCTGCATCAGCAGGCAGACTCTCAACCACTGCACCACCAGGGAAACCCTAATGTCTTCTTTTAATGACTATCTTTTTAGTTTCATTTCTCATCTCCTAGAGCTTAAGCCACTGTCATCTTTCCTAGACCACTGTATTAATATACTAACTGATCTCATATTTATTTTCTCCTTTCAGAGTCTGTTCTCCATACATGATTATCTTAGAGGAAATAAGTAAATTATGCCACTCCTTTGCTCAAAATCCTGTAATGGGCTCACATCACAATTTAGAGTAAAATTCTCCCTTTTGATGGCTGAGACATTCTGTGGGGTCTGGCTTCCACTTTAACCTCTTACTGAGTCTCCTGCTCTGCTCCTCATTCCAGCCACACTGCTCTTCCTGCAGGATCTTGCACTCCAAGCTCATTCCTGCTTTTGTACTTGCTGCTCCTTTGCCTTCCCTCTGACCTTTCCCTGGCTCACTCTCTTACTTCATTTAGGTCTCTGTTCAAACATTCCCTCGAGAGAGAGGTATTCCTTGACTCTCTATTTCTAAAATAACCACCAACTAGTCCTACTCTAATGGCTTACCCTAGAATTTATCACTCACTGCCTGGAATTACATTAGTTGTGAACATAAATTTATTCTCTTTGTCTTTCTCCTGCCATTAAAATACAGGCTCCATGGCAACAGGAATCTTTTCTGTCTTGTTTAGCACTGTTTCCCAGAGCCTAGTATAGTGCCTGCTTGTAGTAGACAATCAGGAAATATTTTTTTGAGTGAATATACTTTCACAAGTGCCTCAGGAATTTTCAAGGTGATCTTAGCAAATTGCTTTTCTGGCCACTAAATTATTTCTTCACTTCTTTTATTTGTTGCATTTTTAAAATTAAACACTTACTCTAGCACT